GCTGTAGACTCATGGGACCCCAGGTGACAGAAGGAAGGCCCGTGACATAGTTCAGATGTTCCGGGGTGGGCATCAGCCGGGGAGCAGTTGTGTACTAGTTGCTATTAAATGATTGAAATATTTATTTAACTTGAATATTAAAGATGTGTGTTGGAGAGTTCGTCCTGCAGGGGTCAGCCCCCTCCCTCCGGCTCTGCCGCAGGTCCCAGTCGGTGGGTGCCTGTTTACAGCTCTTCCAGTCTGCTAAGGACCCAGGCCTGTCACCAGCCCCACTGCTGCCACGGGAGGGGTTTTCTCTGGAGGACAAAAGGGGGAAAGAGGGAAGACTCCGGGCTGGTCCTGGGAGCTCTCAGATGTGGGCCTCCCTGCTCTCCGTAGGAGTCACGGCTCACATGTCCCTAGGCCACCTCAGGACTCGGAATGGTAGGCAGGCCCTGCAGAGCAGCCATGACAGATCCCTCTCTCAGAGTGCCTCTCTGCGTGCCCAGGTCTGCAGGGGAGACAGGCTGGAGGGTCCAGAACTGGTTCTTTCTGAGAATCAGGCTCCAGGAGATGAAAGAAGAGTAACTGCCAAGGTCCAGGATGGGGTCTCTAGGAGGGGGCTCTGCCCAAGCTGGGGTCGTGACTGGGAGCAAGTGTTGACTTGGAGAGCTGGTTAGAGAGCTGTGAGCATGAAGCCCGCGCTCAGGTGCTGCTGAAGCACCTGGAGACGGTTGTCCAGGCAGCGGCCGCTGACCTCAGAGAGGTGGGCCTAGAGGGGGCAGGGTCTGGGCATGGAGGACCACAGGCTAAGAGCAGGGTCAAGCCAGCCTGAGGCTTCCTAACCACGAGGGCTTCCAGAGCTACAACCCACGTCTCAGGCTCAGCCAATCCAGGTGGGTCAAGAACACCACGGCTTGATGGAAAGCCTTGGAGCAGTGCGGCCGGGGATAGCACCGGGGTCTGTCCACCCACCTGTGACCTCCACGGGGGTGGGGCTGTGGCTTGGGTGGGTTCTGCCTGACCTAGTGCATAGATACTGGGGGTGTGGGGGGGAGGTCTAGACGCCTCTGTCCCCACTCCTCCAGCCCTGGTGACTTCTCCTCTGCTCCCCTCCCCCTTTAATTAATTCTGGGTGAGCAGCCTGGCTTTATTGTGCAAGGAGCGGGGGTCTCACTGTGGGAAAAGTCACACCTTCTGAGCAGCTTCTGATGCCATGCAAATGAAGAGACCGTCCAGGAAACGCTTTCATCTGCACGGTCGCCTGTCCAGCCCCCAGCCCAGTAATTACCCACGTTTCATTTGTTTGAGAGCAATTCCTGGGGGAAGCCACAGGGTAGGAGGGAGTCTGGGGGTGGTGGAATGTCAGGCCCTCTGCCTGTGATCCTGGCCACAGAGTGGGGCCAGGCTGGGCCAAGGCTGGTCACTGGCTAAGCCAGAGGAAGTCCTCAAGACCTGGGCCCGGGGTCCCTGAGTGTTCCAGGGCTGGGGATACCTGGGTGCCCTAGGGTGCTGGGGGGGTGGATTATTGTGTCTAGAACAAAGAAGAGGGGAGCTGGCCTGGCCTCAGAGGAGCCAGAAGACTGCCTGGGGAGTCAGGGGTGTGTGGAGGTGCACAGAAGGGTGCGGCCCTGGTCCTTGAGGCTGCCCGAAGCTTGGGTAAAGAGTTTTTTTTTTTCTAGCAGGACCCCAGGCCAGGGACCCATGGGAGCTGAGCCCAGCGCAGTGGGACCAGGACAGGCTGGAGCACCCACCAACTTGTTTATCTCTGAGCTGCGGCCTCCACAGAGCCCGCGCTAATGGGGTTTTACAGCCCACTCAAGCTGCAACTGGCCAAGAATCAATCATTACCGGCACTTAGTGGTTTGATAGTTAACAGCCTGAACTGAAGCCAAACTGGTTGTTAACTGCGATAACAACTGATTTCAAGGGGTTATTGCCGGCCCAATATGCTCAGCCCATTTATTTCAGGGAAAACAAGCAGGGAGCTGTCGCAAGGCCCAGAAGAGGGAGGAGGACGGGGCTGTCCTTAGCCAAAAGGCCTGCTGCTAAGTCCTGAGTTGCTGCCGGGGCCCCGAGACCAGCTGAGGTCTGCACAGAGGCTGGACCTCCCAGCACCCCCTCCAGGGCCCATGTGTGGCCCAGGGGCTCCAGCAGACGGCGCCCTCCAGTCCCTCCTCTCCCCAGTTCTCGCACTGCTTGTCTCCCTCCTCTCCTCCTCTTCCTCCCTGTGATGCCCTCCAAGGAGTGATGTCCCACGCAGGAGGGACCCAGGCCTACTTGTCCTCCCTCAGGAGGGGCTGGACTCCTCGCCCATCGCTCCCTCACTCAGGGGCTCCTGGAGCCTTGCCAAGTCCAAACCAGAAACCGGTCTTTCATTTCAAGGTCAGAGGACTCCACCGAGGCCTTGACCAGAGACACGGGTGGGAGTCTCCTCTCCCATAGCCCAGATTCTGGCCAGTCCTCTCCATCCCTACCTCAGACACATGGAGACAAGCAAGGATGTGGTTCGAGCATCATTCTAGAACGCGGCTGCTGCCAAGAACCTCGGCAGTCGCCCACCCCTACAATGGCTGAGCGGAGGCCTAGAACCAGTGTCACGACTAGCTCTAGAAGCGGGTCTCCATGCCCAGATCAGCGCTGCCTCTTAAGGGCTGTAGGCCTTTCCCTGATTTGATGTGTTCATTCACCCAGTCTTTACTGAGTGCCCGTTAAGTGTGCAACACGGGTGTGAGCAGAGGGGTCAGGGCAGGAAGTAAGACCACCCCGTCCTTGTGGAGCTCAGGTTCTGGGGGAGCGGGCAGGGAGGTGGGCGGAGCAAACAGCCCACTGCAGACACCGAGGAGGAGCACCGTAGAGACAGACACAGAAAGGGATGCGTGTGCAGGGCGGCAGCTATTTTAAATAAGGTGATCAGAGGAGGCCGTGCCGATAGCCTGATGTCTGAGCAGACACCGGGTGCAGGAGAGGCATGCACTATCCGGAGAGGAACAATCCAGGGAGAGGCATCGGGGGCAGCAAGGAGGCCCCATGACTGGGGCATGGTGTAGGCAGAATCAGGTGTGTGCGTGGTTGGAGCTGGCGTAGGGAAGAGTGATGGAA